AAAAGAATACGGCTCGCCGGCTCTCCCTGAGCCGAGCTGTTCTCCGCACCGTCAGTATCCGCGGTGTGGCCGCTGCTTCTCAGCTCCCGGGTCCCGTTGGGGTTTTCCCCGACCCCAGAAGGTCCTCCCACGCCGGCCGGCTGTGTCTCCCCACGCACGGGTGCTCCCGACGGCTCCCTCTTCGCCACCGCCGCCGCTGACGCCTTCCGGGTTCCCCCACCCAGCTGCCTCCGGCGTCCCTTTAATAGGGACTGGAACTGCCTCGAGGCTTCTTCCTCGGTCGCACCTGTGGCACATGAGGGTGCCCGGCTGCGCAATTTGGACCAGGGGGCGTAACCCAGATGGGTTATTTCCGGGTGGTGGGGTTCCAGGGACCCCCTGCTCCCTTCCTCCCCCACACCTTTGATATAAATGAACGCTTCTATTTTGACTACCATAGCCATAAATACAATGAGAGCAGCCAAACAAGTATTGCAAAACATAATCAGAGAAAATAACATAGAAAATTGATCTAGATAAGCAGTAACCAGTCACAGAAAATATCAATGATGATAAAAAATAGTTATCACCATCTTTACAATAACCTTGAATAATTTTATTTGTTATTCCCTCTTGGCAAGTAATTTTCCTTCTGATGTGTGTAATAAGTAAATTTTAAAAAATGTAACCACCAAAGCAAAATCCAGGAAAGCAGACTTCATTCCTGGGCCAGCAATCTTTGCTAACAATTTATATAAGGCACGGTTGCCTTATATAATACATGACAACTGTGAACTGCTGACTCAAAGAAGCATATGATATTCTGTATGCATTTGCAGCTTCTGTTTAAGAGGAGAAACACATTCTGTGAGCAGATGCCAGCTCATCAGAAGTAGGAAAGGGAAAACATAACAGGAATTAAGGACACTTACCCAGCAAGAAGAGATGGAAGATGTAACAACAAATTGCATAATGACCCTTCAAAAGCTTGAGCACCTTCTCTGACAAATTTAAACAGCCAGCCCACGGCACGACATGCTGGGAAAAACTGTCTCTAAGGGGGCAGCCTTTGGCTAGAGTGGGTTAGCCAGGAGTTTCTAGTCAATAAGGAGGAAGCTGCTAGCAAAAGGACTGTGGCCACATGGTTTTGTTTTTGGTTTTCATTTTAGTTTATTTTTCTTCCAGTATCACTATATCAAATGCTCTAGGCTTAGTTATTCTCTTTATCTATATATATAAAGTTATTTTATTTTTCTTTTGGTGTTTATATCTTCTACAGTTAAGGCCTGGAACTTAATAGCTGTATTAAAGAAAGTCACTGGAAGAGTAGACATTGCTTTCTGCACCACACCCTAGCATAAAGGGTAAGTGAGAGGCCTCAGCTCTGCAATCACTTAACTTGAGCTTACTTTTAAGTCTCACTGAAATCTGTAGAACTACTTATGCTAATGCATGCACATGTTTGCAGGATCAGGGCCTAAGCATAATACCTCAGTGTCATGTATACACACACATCGGACACAGCACCTAAGCTAAAGCAGGGCACTTAAGTGTTAAAGGTATCTTTTAAATATAATGAACAGACAACTTCCCCTACCTTCTCCTGTTGCCAGGACTGGAGGAACTTACAATGTAGATTGGCTTTCTTTCTGCTTCCATAATATGCCCTCAAAATCACGTGTAGGGGTCTAACATCACAAATCACTTTCTGTAGTAAAGGACTTCCACAGACTGATAAATAAATATATAGCACCATGCTGGTATCTGGAGCACTGAGAGTCTCTACATTTACATGTTGGGTTTTTTTAATTAAACTTTAATATTATAATCTGAAGCAATGGAATGACTAGGCTTCTGTCTCCATTGGGAACTGAGTGCAAGCTGTTACAGAAAAAATAGCTTTTACTGCTGATATATGAATTTTAAGAGACAAGTGTGAGCAAACAAAGGCTGTTTCATCAAATACTGTGATAGGAAAAATGCAAGAAAAAATGCCAGGATGTATTATGTTAAATAGATTAATTTATTCACTGATTTTAACCCTTTCACTGCCTGGTTGTAAATCACTAGACTAATTATACACCTTCCCATGTTCCGTATATGCTTTTTGTTCTATTTTAGGCAAATCAAACATTTTTAGTCCACTTCAATGTATATTTTGGTGCAAAATTCCCCTAGGGCATAGCTATGCAACCATACAATTTGCACAGCCAAACAAAATTTTGGTAATGCACATAATATTCTCTTTGGACTGTCTTTTGCAGCTATGTTATTCATGTGCTAAGAATACTTTAATACACAGACTATGCACTGGACAGTAAGGTAAACTATCTGTGAAACAATTCAAGGTAAAACACTGCCAAGAACCAACCAGAAGAATAGACAGGCAGGGACTTACAGCAAGAGATGGCAGTTAAAATGGGTAAAGAGTAGAGAACAGGAACATATACAGACCTGATACCAGGATTAGATACACTGAATTTAAGTTGTTAATTAAGTGGCCTTTTGACAGTGTCCCAGTATCTGACTCCTGTTTATGCATGAAGCTGTACCATGCATAGCAGGGATCAGCCACCTTTTAGGAGCAACAGGCCAAATCAGTGCAGCTCACTCCAAAGGCAGGTCACACTTGTAACCAAACCAGTGCCACTGCCGAACTGGCAATGGCACATTTCCAGCCCAGCCTCTACTTCTCCCACTACCAACTTGCCACCAATGTCCCAGCTTTGCAAGCCAGATGAAATTGCTTAGCAGCTTGGATCTGGCGTGTGGGCCATAGGTTGCCATTCCTGTTCTATAGCATAATCAACCCTGTCACTCTGAAAGGACAGAGAATATGTGGGAATTAACAGGGGATGACAGGGAACCTAACTAAGCCAGCATTTATCAAAAGAGCTGACCTGAAAGACTGGATTCCACTGGAACACACACATGAAATTAGTAGTTCATTTGGTTTGCTCTGGAGGTTGAGTTTAAGTTCTGATGTATAAATCAGAGTAGAAATCTTACCAGAAGATGTTTCCTTCTACCAGGTAACAGTTCCAGAAAGTTTCCGGGGCGGAAAAACACACCAAGGCGATCCTTTCTTGCTTTGCTTTGGAGCTTCCACTTCCAGCCCCTGCCCAAACAATACAATACAGAGTAAGTTCAGCGCTGGGGCTGATGGGTTATAAGCTGCGGCAACATGTCAGGGCAGCACACACGGGGCAGGGCACTCATCCTCCCAAATTAAACATTCATCAATTTTATTTATAGAAAGGGAGGAAGGGAGCAGGGAGGGGAAAAGGGGAAAAAAATCCAGGGCCACAGGGCAGGGGGTGCCACACACATGCACACATGCACAAACATGTGGTCAGCAGTACAGCCAGGCAAGGTGGTGGGAGCAGCTCCAGCAGCTGCATGCAGGTAAGTCTACAGGAAGAGAGGGGGTTGGAGGGCCGGGGCTTGGGAACCATCCCTGTGCCTCAGTGCTGTGGGCTGAGCTCTAGCAAGCCTGAACTGGCCCTGCAACATCAGGGACCCCCCCAATGCCACAGGAGTAGTCTGGACACACCAAAGCATGGCCCACAGCCCCGATGGTGCGGGGCTGGTCCAGGTGATCAGGGGCCGAGCTCTGGAGAGTCCAAACCAGCTCTGCACCCTCAGGGCAGAGGCCAAGCTCAAGAAAGCCCCCACACACCTCCTGCACCCCACACACACACCCGTCCCCACACATCCAAACCAGAACCCTCAAATTGTGCCCGCCTGTCCTGTCTCCCCCCCACTATCAACAGTCACCAGTCGCCTGTGGTTATAAATTCAAACATTTTAGAGAGGGAAAGAGAGAAAGAAGAACAGAGAAAACAAGCTGTGATGTTTCTGGTCAGTCCTTCCCTCCGCACACATTCTTACCTGTGTCTGTCTGTTCACTGCTCAGGGCAAGGACAGTCTTTCTACTGGTACTAAGCAAACCACCTCTTGAACTGAGTAGTTGGAATCATCTAAATGTTCCACTTCTAGTGCAGTTTAAAATTTGGTAGGTTCATATTTTCTTTCCTGAACTGGTGCTCCTGACGAATCTGCCAAACAGAAGTAGCTGGGGTGAGTTAGAAGTTGAATTGTCAAGAGCTGCCTTCTCTCCCCACCCTTGCAACTTGGCCTTGAAGCAGAAGGGTGATGTCTCTATGTGTTTTAGTATAAGTGTCTATTGGCATTTTTATTGCATACATCACTCAAGTGCCCCACAAATAGTCATTCTATGTATTGCCAGGTTCAAATTACACTCTGACTCTTGCAGGGGTCTGCAGTGGTGGCAGCCAGAACCCAGAAGCTGCCACCACCACCGCCTGAGCTGCTTAGAAAGGCATGGGGTGAGTTAGGAGCTTTCATCTGTTGTGGGGGTGCCTATGGGGGAGCTCTCATCTCTTATGGGGTGCTCCCATCTCTTATGGGGGGTACCATGCCATGCCCCCCCTGCCCCCCGAGGCCCCCCATATTTCTAACCCTGTGTATTTTTGCACTGGAAGACCACAGTCAACATCAGACAGCCATTTTACCAGGCACTGCACAAACACGGAAAAAGTATCAGTCTGTGCCCCAACAAATTTGGCAGTGATCAGTTTCTCATCCCAACCCCCCCATGATGTCAGATGGCTCCATTAGCCTGACCACACCTGAGAAAAAAATGACAAAGAGAAACTAAGGGTTAAATTCATGGAACGAGAGTTCAATGCCTAAGAATGGAATTCCCAGAAAGCTGTACTGGGAACCACCCAGATAGCCCATTAAAAATGCTGCGGGAAGGGACAGAACATAAGCCCCATCCACAAAGGTAGCTATGTACCTAACTCCAGGTCAGAAGTTCACTGCCTATACCTGGGATTCCCAGATGTGAACCTTCCTCTAGCACCTAAGCTGGATCAGCTCTTTTGCATGAAAAATCACGGACAGAGGTCCAAGTGTGATTAGAGCATTCACCTGAGAGTTTGCAACCCCCTCTTTGCTGGTTTGAAACAGAGGCTTAAACCCATTCTTCTACCACTGAGGAAAGTGCCCTAACTCCAAGCTAGCCTGGAGTGAGGCTCACTCATTAGTTCCCATGATGCTGCTTTTGTATTGATATTTATTCATTAAAGCAAAGATATGACCCTAGCTCTCCCACCTCATAGACAAGCTGCCTTATCCCTGAGCTGTTTTGTAAAATATAAATGGGCATGACATGGACAGTGCCTTCCACAGCTGTCCTCATCCCAAAATTACTCATATTTCTTTGCAACTTTAATTCTAGCCTAGTTTTTTTGTCCAGGATTCATTATAATGCTTGTAGTTGGCCAAACTGCATCTCCAACCAATCAGAGCTGCTGGGTCCATTGAATAAGTATAGCTCACCTGAAACAAGATATCAGGACACTGTTTTCTGTCTGCTCATTGGCTGTTTGACCCAAACTTTTGTGTCAGGCCTGATCCATTATTATACTTGCTCTAAAAACCCCTAGCAAAGAGGACTTCACAGGTAAGACCAGTAAGGAAACTCCTAGCCTGCATATCCTGCCAGGGCTTTGGTGCTGAGCAGTTCAGTAGCACCAGGGATTAGATAGGTTTGCTTATTACGCTCTCAAGCAGAAATGTTAGCTCTCATAAGGTTATATGACAGCTAATCAGAGTGTTTGTGTATCACGACATTGAGCTTTGAAACCCAATATGGCAGTCCAATTTTGAAACCCCTGCGCAGACTTATGCCTCAGTGGCTTAGCCCAGGTTGCACAAGAAGTCTGTGTGAGAACTATAAAGACTACAAACCTGGTGTGCTGGGCCCCAGGCCAGTGCTTTAACCATAAGATCTAATAACCTCTTTGAAATGGCCTTTAATTACAACTTTTTATCTATTATAAGTCCATGATTTTCAGACTGGAATTAGTCCAGAGCCCTTTCTAGTGGGCCACAGAATTAAACGTTCCAGGAATCAAGCAGTGGAAGATGGGAGAACTGAAAGGAGAAGGGCCAGCAGGAGCAGCTCTAGCTATTGCTAGCTCAAGAACCACTGCTACAAGTACTTTTTAAATTGCTTGCTTCTTAAATGTCAGTATTGCTCCTTGGCCACTACACAACACACTTCTGTACCCAGCATTGTATTAGCTCTCCGTACTGTATGTGGGTTAGTTATTTTTAAGCTACTTCGATGAGTATAGTGAGATTATGTAATTCCTTTTTGAATATTTTTGATGCTGACTCAGAAATCTCCATGCTTGACACCAGTACATGATCAGACTTTATATATAAAGTCCCTCCTATAAATACTTTATAAAGAGCTAATAAAAAATTAATAGGTGTTTTAATAAATGGTTAATCAATAGGTTGTAATTAATCCAATAGAGCATCAGGTTGTATATTCTCAGGATTTCTTACCATCTAGAATACTTTTTACTCATGTTCTTTTACCACATAGTTCTGGCATCTGAAATGAGCTTCTAACATCTATTAATTGCTTATAAGCTGTTTATAAATGAAACCTGAACATAAAACTGGTAACCAGACACATTTTATATATCAGGATTTACAAAGTAAATCCTTCACTCTCTCATTCATGAAATGGCCGTTACCATCTTGTGCAGATAGCAGGAATCTTTGCATATTAAATAAACAATAAATTCACTAATTGCAACAGAAAACTACTGCTGGTTGGTGTGAAAAGTTGAACCTACTGAGTCACACAACACTGGGGTATGCTGGCAGGTTCCCTTTCATTTGCAAGAGTTCATTTGAGGATCAGCCTGAAAAAAAATGTTTTGAGGCTGAGAGCTCTTCTGTTTTTAATGCCAGGGACTCCAATAACCCCTGCTGGTAGAAGATAGCAGATGAAAAATCTTTGTTGTTTGCAACACAGCATCTCAGAAGAAATTCATCTGCAGAGAAAGGCAAATGATGCTTGCAGGGCTGCTGTCCTCTAGGATTATACCCAAGTACCTATCAGGTCAGAGACATACAAAGGCCCACTAACCTGGGATATTTGAGGGAGATGTTGACTCAACACATCCCTGGACACCCTTCCTACACCAGTCACTCCAACCCTTTGGCTTGCACTGACAAGGAGCTGCAGCAGCACAAGTGTTGTAAACTCTTGCATTCACTTCAAATGGACTTTGAGCTGCCAGGGGTTATGGGAAGAAGGTGGTAAAGACTAGTTACAACAAAATAGTTTTTTGTTGTAACAAAATTGACTGTGTTCAACCTATATCTCCATGATCTTACCTTTCTCTCACATTCTCAGCACCAGTCGATTTTCAGAATCACGTGGATATAGTGCCGTAGGCACATAGGAATCAAATGGTTTTAACAGCAGCATTCCCATAAAATAATTTTTTAGTAATCTTAATCCATATGGACTAGAGCCAGAAATACAAGCTAAATGAGCCAGTTTCCTTATCCTGAGAAATGTCATACCTATTCACATAATGTAGTAGGGTCTAATGCAGTAGTTCTCACCCTTTTTAGACTCAAGGCACCCCTCAGAAAATGCCCACTCTTAATGTTAAAAACATTCTGACCTGTTCTGGTCTCTCTGAGTTCTTTGCAACAGAAAGATTGCTCTATTATTTTTCCATAATCAAAAAATGAGTAAAAACTGTTTGAAATCTCTGCGTTTATCCTGTGAATCACATTTGCACATCTAATGGTGCTAACAATGTGTGGCATCCCACAGCACCCTTGAAAGGATCTCAAGGCACCCAGGGTGCTATGGCACACTGCCTGAAAATCACTGGTCTAATGAATAAGGCACTGGGCAAGAACATTAAAGACTGGGTTCTGTAGCAGCCTCTGATATTGAAATGCTGTATGATCTTGCTTGGTTAACTTGCCTGTGTGTTTCCCATCCCACCTTTTGTCTGACTTGTTTATATGAACTGTAAGGTATCTGGGGCAAGAAACATTACTTACAATGTGTTTTACATAGTGCCTGGTGCTACAGAACTCTGATCTTCCTTACAATCTTTTGAGACCATTTTCGATTATTCTGTAGATTTATATAAGTCTCTCAGGGTCAGAAAATCCCTGGAAAGAGGGAAGAAAGTAAGAACTGGGGAGAGAAAGGTACAGGCAACCTACCTGTAATTGCCCATTTGTAAGTGTCTTAAAAGC